TTATCGACCTTCCGGAAGGTTTTTTCTACTAAACTATCATCTTCCTTAACCCTCCAGAAGGTTTGTCTTCTGGACAAACATTTTCATCAACCTTCTAGAAGGTTTGTCATCGACCTTCCGGAATGTTTGCCTATTGCGCCAACTTTTCCAGAGACCTTCTGGAAGGTTTTGCCTACTGGTTAAATCTTTTACCTTAACCTTCTGGAAGGTTTTGTCTGTTTTTCTATAAAACCTCCCTTTTTCATTTTCAATCCATTGAAAACCTTTCCAATTCCAACCCAAGCTTCTTCAACATGCTTTTGTACATCAAACCTAGTTGGTATAAGTTTTATTACAATGATTTCATATATTTGCGAGCTAAATTAAATTTTAACTACTATTTCCCAAATTTTTCCATATTAATATTTCAAAAGAATTAATAACTTGCTATATAAACCTACATACATATATAAGGATAAAAGTGTGGGGTTTACACCAAGCCATGAAATGAGATGAGACTCACTCACGCACATCAACCCGAGCCCTCACCGGCTCCCACCACACAATGCAATGCACGTGTAAAACCTTTATCATTGATGAAATACATCCAATGATCACTTTGAAAAAGAAGTCATGTGTTTATAAAATCAAAAATTTGTTGGATGTTACACATCATATGATCGTTTTATAAAATCAAGTACACTTTTCTAGAATTTCACCTCAAGGGAGTGTACAAACCAAGTATTTTATAAAACAAAATCCTAGTGTCTTTGTTGGGTAGTAGAGTTTGGAATTGCACCGCTAGTTCTGCAAACCACATACACTTTTCTGGAATTTCACTACAGAGGAGTGTATGAACCAAGTAGCTAGGTCTTGCACCCGAGGGAGAATCTAGCCCTTCTTGCTATACCTGACACAAGTTTTCCATGCATGCAACCATGGGACACAGTGGAATCTTCAATTCCACTTTCTCGAGCCCACTATCAACCACCATATATGATGTTTGAATAAACCATGCCCACACATACCCACACTCGTGCCTAAGCCCATGAATGTGATGTCATGCCGTGCCCAAGATGCAATGAAAGCCAAATGAGCAATTAAACCGCATATCCACATATCCCATAGCCATTTATATCATATGCATATAATTATCATAACTCATTTCCATGTCAATACATCAATTAACACATATTAACATTTTGAACCAACACAAGGCCCAAGCGTGTCATTTCATAATTTTATGCCAATAACACACCTAATCAAAATTTAGCACATCATAACACATAGCATGCCCACATAATCTCAACTTCCAAGGGGTTTACATGAATACTTGCACATATGAAGATCAAGTTAGAAAGTGGTCTAGGCCATTTCTATACTCATTTCCTTATTTCCACGACTATAGGCAAGTCATATATTATTTTATACCTCTAACCTTTCCATACGAACACCCTAGGTTAGAAATAAACCAGAGTAGGAAGGAACCCTACCTCTTGGAGTGTGATACGAATGGGAGAAGCCTCTAGAACACCTCCCAAGCCCCAAAACCTTGATTTCTCAAAATTCTCTATTTGGATCTTTGGTGAAATCCTTTGTTCTTGGTACGTAGATGTAGCCCTCATCGCGATGATCAATTTTAACTCTTGGTCAAAGCGATTTCGACTGACGGAACTTCGTAGATAAGAGGGAGAAATGTAGAAATTTTGGGTTTTTCTCTTTCCTCTCTTCTCTTCTCATCCAACGTGTGAGATTAGATTTAGGGGAGAGAAAATATCTGATTTTTCAGATATTAACCCCTATTTATACTTTTAATTGCGCGGTCCATATTGCCCTGGACGTTTACTACTTCTGGGTCCGTTTTTAACTCAAGACGACTTAATTAAATCCCGATTTTAGTTCACATTATTTTTATTTGAAATTTTATTCAATTATAAGGAAATTTTATAATTTTTATTTTTGGGGACGGTCGTAAGGTCATTCGTCACCCAATTATCTCGTAAAACATGTAAAATTCGACTATCTTGGAATTCGACGAAAATTGAAATGGCAGCTCAATTTCGTGATACGAATTCAATGGTGAGGTCCGTTGCATCATCCGATCTCTAGAAAAATATGAAATTTAATTCCGTATTATAGTGACAAATTACCATTTTACCCTTCTTTCGAAAAAGTTTAAATTTATCCGGGTTTTACATCTTTGCACAATAAAAACAAAGAACTAATGTACCAAAGAAAACATTTTCAACTGAACAAGTTAATACTATAATACAACACGATACACTTCTTAAGTACAAAGATCCGGGTAGTCCTACAGTCTCATATCTAATTGGAAATTTTCGAATTGAACAAGCTCTGCTAGATCTTGGATCCAGTTGTAATTTAATGCCATAATCAGTATACACACAATTAGGATTAAGGGAGCTAAAACCTTCCAATATCACATTACAATTAGCAAACCGTTCAATAAAAATTCCACAAGGAGTTGTGGAAGATGTTATTGTCCAAGTTGATCAATTCTATTTGTCAGCAGATTTTATTGTTATAGACACAGATCCAATTTGTCATAGATGTCCATCCACACCTCTAATTTTAGGTCGATCATTCCTAGCTACATCCAATGAGTTAATTAAATGTAGAAATGGAGTCATGAAACTTTCATTTGGAAATATGACCTTGGAATTAAATGTTTTTAATAGTGCAAAACAACCTAGAGAGGAAGAAGAAATCTATGAGGTAGATGAAATTGATGAGATTGTAGAGGAGAAAATTAACACCTCTTTTTATTCTGACCCTCTACAAGTTTGTTTGATTAATTTTGTTATTGATAGTGGAAATCTTGATGTGCAATTTTATGTTGATTTGTTAAATTCTTCGCATGAAATAACACAGAATGTAAGAAACTTTAATTGGGAACTTAAGCTCGATTGATCTATCATTTATTCATCTCTTGTATATAGTAGTTATAATTTCTCTTTTGTGTTTTCATTTCTTTTGTATAGTTTCTTTGTTTGTTTTGCAAATTAGGTTTTGTACTATGGATGTATCTCGCTTCCATATCTTATTAGCAATTATCTAATATTCTATTTCATTTATGCCATACATTAAAGACAACGTCTAATTTAAGTTGGGGGGTGTGGATGTCAATTTACTTATGTGTGAATTTACTTATATTTGTGTTTAGTGTTTTTATGTTCTTTAAAAAACAATTTGTGACTAGCAGACTTTAAAGAATCGGGTAGTGAGTCTGTTTAACTAAAAATAAAAAAATGTATTTATAACAGAATAAAATCAGTGTGCAGAACCAATTTCAGGTCAAGCGTTAGATCGTCTCCAATGGATTAGGTATGGGCAGAGTAAGGATTATCTTGAGACGTCATCCTATTCTACCCCAATGTTAACAACATACGTAAGAAATGAAGTTGATCGTGTCACAGGTAATATTGATCCAGAGAGTTCTGACACTGACTAGATGTGATCAAATGATGTATCATTTTGGAATAAATGTAAATAGCTATAGATTAATTAAGAACATAGTAAATACATATAATAATAATAATAATAATAATAATAATAATAATAAGTAATAAAACCATTTGGAAAAAAAAAATTGGGTAGTTGTTTGTAGAATTTTTAAAGTTTTAATTAATTTTGTAACTGCAAGGAAGCAGAAATGCAGCAATCAGCAGTGCAATGCAAATTCTAGTGCATCCTCACAGCAAAATATGAAAAACCAAGTTGAGATTTTGAGACTACTTCGAGAGAATTTTGGAGAAGGATCTTCTACTTACTAAACAGACTGGAGATTCTACAAACAATTCGTCATCTTTCACTCATCTTTTAAATTATGCACTTGAACTTCAATTTATGTTTTGCACTTGTTTGTTTTAGATTGTTTGTTTTGAACTAATGTGTGTTTAAGTTTGTTTTTGTTCAAATTAGAACCTATATTGTTAAAGTTAGGAAGACTTTATTTTTTTTTTTTTTAAGAAAAGGGGAAAATTTTATTTATTAAAATCCAAAATTACAAGAAGCAAAACAGAAACTGTTTTGAGGTAAAACAGTATCTGTTAACAACAAAAAACATAAAATAAACAGTTACAATGGCAACATAGTAATTTGTTGTACAACCGTATACATCTTCCAAAGCGCAACTTCTGATCCCCAACAAATAGCACAGTGCATGGACATCTGGGATCCACTCCAGGTCAACTGTCAAGCCTTAAGCAAAGAGCGGAAGAAATCAATGCAAGCAGTGAGCTGAGAGCAAACTGCTTCAAAAATCAAAAGACATCAGGCCAAAAAGCTAATTAAGGAATTGAGGAAATGATAAGCCAAACATCCCCATCAGGACATAGCCAAATCCATAGCACCAGGGCAGATAAAAAGCCATAACTCCAGATTTTAAGCAAGACAAAACCAATAGACAAACTTCCCCATCCTTTAACCTCCAGAGATGATGCGTAAGATGGATCAAGTAGAAATCAGGAAAAATGGCCAGCGAAGGGCAAAGACCATCAGGAGAAGCATCGAAGCAAATCTAGGGAGGAGCCTAGAAGAGCATGAGGATCCATAGATTTCCAAATAGATTGTAGAATATTTTATAGCCTTGCTGATACAACGACTGGGACTAGAAGCACCAATGGAACCCCAAACCCAACAGAAACAAGTATAAACTTAGCAAAGAACACTCAGTTCCCCACAAATTTGTCAAATTAATTTTCCTTTTCTGATGCATATGTACTTGAAAGTATAAATCCACAATGATTATGGGAAATGATTTCATTCTCCTCCAAATTGCAGCACACAAGATGGCCAAATCTAATAACAACCAGTTGGTTTTAATCCTTCAAAGAAATAAAACCAATTTAACTAAACACCATATCCTAGCCAATGCAGAAATCCAACCCCCTACACAACTAGCTCCTAACTAATTTCTCTCACTATCAGCTCCTTCATCTTACAAGGAACCATTTAAAAGCCATAATCATCAAATAAATGTATTTATAAAAACCATAACCTCAACCAATCCCATACCTTTGTTCACATAGCACCCTTCTGACCAACCTGACAAAGGGTCTCTTACTCTGATCCTGTTGCAAGAGTAATCTACCAGCAACTAGAAAAATGCCATTACCAGAGAAATCCACACTTTCACCAGACTTAACAGCAAAGGAGCCAAAAAATCTGCAATAATATTAGCCTCCCTATAAACATGCCTCAGGTGATAGTTCAATCTTCCAAGAACATGCAAAACTTGCTCCATAATGCTCTGCAATCTCAAAGGAATCTCAGCATTCCGTAGAATCATCTGGACTAAAACTTGAGAATCAGACTCAATTAAAACCTCTTTGTCCTCCAATTCATATCTCATAATCAAATTTAAGCCATCAAGCAATGCCTTGCATTCAGCACTCATATTGGAACCAACCCCATAAAAGGAGGCAGCTGCTAAGACAATATGCCCCCTTGAGTCCCTCAACACCATTCCTTCACTAGAGAATCCACTGCTTCCTTTAGAAGCACCATCCACATTTAGCTTCCGCAAGTTATCATGAGGTGGTTCCCATTTCACCCACCTGACTTTAGTAACAACAGAGAAAGGAAATACCATTTTCAGATCTTGCAACATATCCTTCCCCCTCAAATCATCAGCTCCACTAGGCTTAATAAGAAAAGCTTGCCACCTCAAAGCACTCACTACTTGCAGAAAAATAGCATACACATTTAACTTTAGACCTTCATATCTCCTTCTACATCTCTCTTTCCACAAAGCCCAAAAAATTAACATGGGCACCCCTCTAATCAAACTATGAGTTAGAGTTTGATGTTTAAAGCTTCTTATTAATCTCAAGAACCTATAGATAGGAGATTCTCCTTCAAGTATTCCAGAACCAATAATGGCAGACAATCTGCACCACTGAGCATGAGCAATAGAATAGCTAACAAAAACATGAGAAATAGACTCCTCCTCCATACCACTCAAATCACACATGTTGGGCATTGCTACCCCCACACTTCTCACCGTAACATCAGTAGTCAAAGCAGCTCTAAATATCTTCCAAGTACATAACTGGGCACTAGAAAAAATTCTCAGTTTCCAGATACTCTAAGCCGTACTACTTTGCACACTCCTCTTTCTGATCTGATTCCAAGTACTTAAAATCCCTTTAAGAATATTCCTATAGGCTACCATATGAAGTGGAATAGAATTGAGTACTAACTGGACCAACACAAACCTTCCTATACGAGATAGTATCTTGGCATACCATCCTTCAATTTTGCACCTGAAACTCCTCACCATCCCTTCAAAATTGCATTTCCTAACCGTACCCAATAAATAAGTGAATGGACATCCCAAATAGCATTTCCTAAGGGCATCCCAAATAAGTGAATGGACAAGACTTAATGGGAATACCCACCACAGAGGCCAACATAGTTCTTCTAGATAAAGAAATCCTCTTGGAACAGTACATAGAGCTTTTTGTTCTGTTTACTTTTTGCCCAGAACAAGACTCATAAACACCAATAAATTTCATCACATTGACCATAGATCTCTTAGTACCTCTGAGAAAGACAAGTGTATCATCAGCAAATAGCACGTGACTAACCAATGTAGTCCTCCTACCAATATGAAAGTAAGTCACCAATTTCTATTCATAAACACTCCTTAACCCTCTACTCAGAACTTCCTCAGCAAGGATGAACAAGGAAGGGGAGAGAGGATCCCCCTGCCTTAGACCCTTGGAATTGGAAAAGTAACCAAACCTCTGACCATTTAAGCAAATAGAGAAGAATTGAGTAGATAAACAATTCAAGATAACTTGAGTGAAAAGACTTGAAAACCCAAAACAACTCAAAAACCTTCAATAGAAAATCTCATTCAAGCCTATCATAGGCTTCCATCATGTCTAATTTCAACACCATGTTTCCTCCCTCCACTTTCCAATCCAGTTCACCAACTAACAATTGGCCTAATGTTAGACAGTCACCAATACCTCTCCCTTTGACAAACCCATGCTGTTCCTCAGAGACCAATCTAGGGAGAAGAGTAGAAAGTCTAGTATTAATCAACATGGTAAAAAACTTGTATAAGAAATTACACACGCTGACGGGTCTGAAATTAGAGAAAGAAATAGGATTATCTTTCTTAGGAATCAAAACCTATAAGGTAGAGTTCATTGATTTAGGCATCACACCTCCTTGTAAAAGAAAATTCACAGCATTCCACACATCCAACTTAATAACCTCCCAAGCAAACTGAAAAAATCTACCAGATAGACCATCTGGTCCAAGGGCACTTTTAGCTACCATGGAGAATGCCACGTCCTTCACTTCCTCCAAAGAGGCCTCACCAGTAAGCCTTAAATTTTCCTCATCACTGACCAACATAGGAATCACATAAAAGATATGTTCATAAATAACATGCTCCTCTGACTTATATAAATCAGCATAATACTGTTCAGCAACTTGAGCAATCTCCTGATCCCCTTGAACCCAAATCCCATCCTTATTCTGGATTCTAGAAACCTTATTTCTCAAAACCTTACTCTTGGCAATGGCCTGATAAAATCTTGTATTCCTCTCCCCATGAATAGCCCACATAATATTAGACTTTTGTTTCCAATAGATTTCCTCCTTTCTAAGTAAATCATCCAATTCACACTTGTAACATTCAAGTTCCATAGCTGTAGATGAAGAATATTCTTGGTCTAGACTCATTTCTGCCAACCTGATTTTCTGCTCCTGAGCCTTAATATTGTCAAATAAATTGTCAAACACCTCTTTATTCCGTAGCTTCATATGTGCCTTCAAATACTTTAGCTTAATAAATAGATTGGACAAAGGATTATTAGAATAATGACCATTCCAATTAGCTGCAATCAAATTTAAAAAACCATCATGTTCACACCACATATCCTGGAACATGAAGTAAGATATTCTTCTCCGAAGTGGCTCATTCATAACTTTCAAGAAAAGAGGGCTATGATCAGAAGCACCTCTAGCCAAATGCACCACCTCAGAACCTCCAAATTTCATATTCCAGTAAGCATTAACCAAAGCCCTATCCAATCTCTGCATCATTCTGACTCATCCTTGTGTGTTATCACACCATGTAAATTTATTACCACTAAAACCCCCATCCATCAGACCACTCTGGTCTAAAAAATTCCCAAACTCCTCCATTGATACTAAAGAAGGGAAAGCATCCCCTTTTCTTTCCTCCGAACAAAGGATTGAGTTAAAGTCTCCCACCATAACCCAAGGCATAAGAGAAGGAACATCAACCTCAATCAAATGCTTCCATAATGATCTTCGTAGAACATGGTCATAACTAGCTTAAACCACTGAAATCCAGAAAGTCTCATTATTCATAAAAGTCAACTCTATAGTCAGCACCTGAGCATGTTCAAACAACACCTTTAAATGCACTCTATCAGCCCATAAAAGACAAATATTCCTTTTTGCTAAGGTATTAAAATAGAAATGTCCCAAACCAATACTCTTAGCAAAATTATGTAACTTGGACACCAGCAATTTAGGTTGTTGGATTGTAACAAAACATACATCATAAATTTTAAAGAGCTTCTTTAATGTCCTCCTTTTAGCAGCTTTTTATGCCCCCCTCATGTTCCATGAAAGAAAATTTATCATGAATGGATAGGAAGAGAGGCACCACTAGAACTTAATCCATTACACTCATCATCTTCATTAAAGGAACTATCAGAGATATCTTGATCATCATTTACAACCCTCTGAGTTCTGGATTTGGCCTGGTCAGAAAAGTAGTCATTATTTGGTGGAACTCTCTCACTCACCAGACCAACCTGATCATCAACCACACCTTCATACCCTTGCAATACCCCATATTGATGATCAACTAAAAAAGAAGAATCTAAAGAGGGAGCATAAAGAACTATACACTCCCCTAGATTCTCCCTATTACCATTAGTAACATCCAATACAACATTTACTCCATCATTTTGAGTAGCTACATTATTGACTTTATTGGCCACATTCATACCAATTCCAACCTCACTCTCCATATTTAATACAGAAGGAATTCTAGTCAATACAATAAGAGAGGGAAAAGAAAATACCTCTAAACTAGAACCACCTATAGAAGGGTTGACTTGAGCCACAAAAATAGGATTTACAAGAACCTCTCCGACAACACCTTCTACAACATCCACAAGATCACCTTCTGCACCAGTGATCTTACATAAATTCTGAGATTCCACAGAATTCTGAACAAGGATCTCCACACCATTAGTCTCCTGTTGAGGAATTTGATTATGCATCCCCAAATCATTATCCACATCCACCACCTCATTCAAATCATTCAAAACAGCAAAATTGTTCCCAACAACTAGACCCAGGGCCACAGTTTTCTGCCTATATTCCTTCCTTGATCTAACTCTCACTTCCTCAGTAGAAACAACTTTCCCTTTCCCTTTCCCATTCTTCCAACCATTATCTTGGCCATAGTCATTTACAGGAATAGACACCTTCTCAGAAGTACCACCCACCTCTTCTTTCTTTTTCTTTCTACATAAATCTTCCTCATGCCCTTGTTTTAGACAAACAGGGCAATATTTATAGTCCTTCTCATAGACTATCTTCTGCCATCTTCCACTAACTCCCCCCATTTCTAGCCAGAACCTCTTAGGATTGCTAGCCAATAAGTTCACTTCCACACAAGCTTTGGCCACTCCAGGCCTAGACAGGTTCAAAGTTGCATTGTCAATCACCAGAATCCTACCAATTGGACTTAGAATATCTCTAAGACTTTCTTTATTGAAAAGATGGATTAGTAATCCAGGAAGAGACACCCAAACAGAAACAATCGGTGGTTCAATCTTAGGGTAAAACTCTAGGAACCACTTAAAAAATCTAAACAGATAACCCTCAATGTAGGTGGTATCCTTGAGCCACTCTTTGACAAAATCCTCATATAAAGAAAACCTAATCAGAACATACATAGGATCTAACACACCTACAGAAAAATCTCCTTTCAACAGCCATCTAGAGTTTATAAACTCTTTTACCACCCCCAATAAAGGCTTACCATAGGCACATTTGCCTATAAGAGTCTGATTAAAGCCTTTTGAAAGCTCCTAAGTCTCAACTGGGGACTAGTACATCCCTGGCTCCCCATTGTTGAAAATGACTCTCTTAGAAGGTTTAGAAGTAACAACAGAATTCAAGGAACCAAATAGTATGATGGAAGAAGGATTTTGAGCACCAAGAACATTTTGACCACTTGACACAAGTACTGGAACCTGAACACCTTGGCCTAACAAATGGATCTTAGAATTTGGCAAAGTTCGATCAATCAAAGTTTCTGGATTTTGAGAGCTCGAAGTGAAATGAAAAATTCAGAGAGGATTGGGGCTTTAGATTGACTCCATGAGTGTTTCAAACATTAGAAGACTCGATAGGAACATGAATTCCTAACTTAGATCAAGTGGATTGATTGATCGCAGAATATCTCACAGTCGAAGGAAAACATGATGTAGAAGCAATTTGAGTATTCAGCTGATTTTGATTCAAAGGAGGAATAAGAGGCATAGAAATGGTGTTATTACATCCCGAAGGATCAACAAAAGTCAAGGAATTTATCTCAGAAATAGCAGAAGTTTTTGGTGATGTCTGGTGGTTTTGGGGGAATTTGATGTGGTTCTTGGCAAGAATTCATGCTGGATCAATCAGAAACAGTAAGAATTCAAAGAATTTGCAAAGAAACAATGAAAAAATCAATCAAAATGGAGCAGATCTGAGAATTACGTGAACAGTTCCTAGAGAGAAGGACCTTCTCTCTCAATCAAGACTAGTGCATATGATTCACAGTTAAATTAGGTTAATATTCCTAAGTTTTGTGAAAAATATTCTTAATTTGATCACGTAGGATTTTCATAATTTAGCTGTATATTATCTTAATATTTTTATTCGAACTAATTTATATGAGCACGATTAGATTTCTTTATTTTAGAAACCTTGTGAAATATTACACTATTTACATATTTAGTGGAGATGTATAACCAATTGAAGAATTTGAGCCAATCTTCCTTGGAGAGATATTCTACATCTACTCAAATAAACATCTTTGATTCTACGACAAACTTTCTTTAAATAATCTCATTAATTTTGTCTTGATTAGCACTTGTTAGATTATATTATTAGCATTATCCTTGAAATTATTTTACGTAGGAATGATGCAGATGAATAATTTCAGGAAAATGATCTTAGACCATGTTTGATTTATCTTGAGTCTTAACCATTTCTTTTACAAAATTATATCCTTAGCCAACCATGATTGAGCCTAAAAGAGTATAAATTCTTTTCTTGAACCCCAAGAAATACCCGAGCCACATAAAAATATATTAAATCTATGCTATCTAATTTTCTTGCACCCTCTTTTAAATCAGCAGGATACTGGAAACAAAAAAAAGAAGAATGATCTCGGTTAAAAAAAAAAAGAGCCAAGAAAGTGAAAAATGGAAAAAACTAACATGTAAAGTCTTAGAAAAGAAAGAGGTGTGTTATAATATTAAAGATAGCATTTGAATCCCACTAACGTCATTTCATACACCCTAAACCTATGGCCACATTACAACCCGAAGAAAGTCATTTTTGATTCCAGAAATTATGCATTTGTATTAATCATATCATTCTAAAAAGGAAAATGTTAATAATATATGTGTAATATAGTGTTAATATTCTCACATGAGATTATGTCAAATTCCAGTTCTATTCTAATAAACCACTCTTTTGATTAACTACATGTGATATTATTTGTTTTGTTAACTATATTCCAATTACATGTAGCTCATGAGAATAGTCACTATAACAGGTGTGTTCTTTTTGCTGAGTGTATTCCAGGAAAGGATTGACATTAAAACTACCATGAAAGATGGTAATATTTCTTGAGTGATTTTTGAAACAAAAAAAATCATCACACATGCACAAGTTTGTATAAAAATATATGGATAATGTTACAACTAACGTGTGTTACTCTTATAGTGATTAGAAAAGGAACTATTCTAGCAAGACAGAAGGAATATTGATTTAGTTATTTTTGTGAAAGTATGAATTATAAAATCCTAACTACTGAATTTTGTAGGTAGCTTCACTAAAAACCTTCACGAAACGAAACTCGTCCACTAGGAATCACCTAGGGGTTTAACGGCTTATTGCATATGCTAAATGCAGTCATGAAAAAATCTATGAAAATGATTTTAATTCTGTTTATGTTTAATTTTGTGAAATAGTTTTTATAATCTATGTTTACTAGGACTAGTAAAGTTTAAGTTGGGGGTGTGATTAACACTATTTAGTGTATAAACTATAATGATTAAGCAATCAACTTTGTAAGATAAAACAACTAAAAATTATCAATTAGGAGTAATTATAATTTGTGTGGAAATTAAAGTTTTAAATACTTTATGTTTAAATTTCAGAGTCTAATGCAGAAATACCAGAGAATACAAGGCAATTTTGCAAAACTTGAAAGAACAAAGGAGTAAAGTGTAATATAGACACATGGAACATCCAGCACGCGACACATGGATCAACTACAATGCACCTTGAAGTTTAAGAAAGCGACACTTGGAATTTACGGCAAGGCAACACCATCCGGATGGTGATTGACTTGATCCAAAATGTGTACACCCAAGTGCAGACAGTCAAGTTGTAGTAATAATCCGATTAAGTCCGGAGTTAAATCCATAGGGAACTATGATTGGTGTTTTGAAGTAAGCAATAATAGAGACCAAGTAACTGAAAATTTTGAGAGTTTGGAGTGGTGGAGTTTCTTGAATAGAATAGAAGATTCTTTTCAAGAGTTTTCTAAACAAAATATAAGATTCTCAAAATGTAACAGCCACCCTTTAGGTCAAGGATCAGGACATGTAATTGACTATCCGGTTTATTATGTTTGTGTTTTATAACTCAATTAACTCCTGTGTCAACATCAAGTTAATCAGAAGATAAAGATGGACGGTGAGAATTAAGCACATGATTTTGATGCCTTTCTAGACGTTTACAAGAATTGTCTGTACCGAGACTTAACCTATCTAGAAACAAGCAAGTGTTTCTACAAGGCATCCAACCATGGCATTAATGGTCCTTCCTTTGAATAAAGCGCAATAATAGTAGAGATTGAAAGGTTGTCATGAAGAGCTAGCGGGGGTGCTTACCTTGAACCAACGGGTCTTTCTATGTAGGAGTCATCCGTATCATAGAGGGAGCCCTTGGTTATACAAAGTACCTCTATTAGATGCATTCAATCATTCAATGAGCAAGTGGAATATAAAGCACTAAAGCATAAAGGAGTTGCACAAACATAACTTCTAGATAATCTTTACATATTCATCACCTCTTACTAAAGAGTGAATGAGAAACTACTCACTCTTCATGGTCTTGGCAAAGCTAGAAAAGTGAGTGATACTCATCCCTCCAGGTAGAGGAGCTACTAAGTGAAGCAAACTAAAGAAAGAGCTTATCTTCAGTGAAGAATAAGTGAATCGCTTTCCACCCTTCACGGCTTTGGTAAAGCTCTAGAAAAGTGGAAGAGTTTCACTCTTCTAAGAAAGAAGGTTGCTCAAGCAATGGAAGTGAAATACATGAACAATAAAAGTAGAAGAAAGCTAGTTACTTTTGGAGAGTTTCCACCACAACCAAAAGATGAGCTATCTCTCTTGATACTTGTAAATAAAAGCAAGTACAACTACAAGGGGGGTCTAAGCCTCCATCATGGTTGTCACAACATAAATGTAAATACTTAACATAAATAAATAAAAGACTTCAACTACAAGGGGAGTCTAAGCCTCCATCATGGTTGATACTAAAATGAAACAAGCAATGTATACAAACTAGCTTTCTATTTTACAAGAGAAGAAAAATTGTTAAGGAGAAAAGCTCTCTACTTTCCAAGAAAAAAAGGATGCCCTTTAAGCTCACAACATGGGAGTATTTATAGGCGAGGAAGGGGAGGGGGGGATAGGAGATAAGAGAGGATGAGAGAATAGTGTTTGCCACCCATGGAAACCAACTACTCTGTAGGTAGTTTGTGGATGACATTCGAATTTGAATCGACGTTCGAACGTTGTCTTCTGTTTTGCTTTAGGGACGTTCGAATGTTTCTTCTGGTCTAGCTTTATAAGCGTTTGAACGCCAGATGGGGCCTGACCTTTTCCACTTAAGTGGCCTTCTGTCAAAGTTCATTTTTACACTCTATGCAGAAGTCTGTTCTTTAATTGATTCCAAGGGACGTTCGAACGTTGAATGGCATTGGAGCGTG